CATTGTAAAGCGATGTCTTATCCATATGACCACTGTGCTTCACTGATATTAACTTGTTCGGTTCAAGATGTTAACACTTTCTGATGTTAATGACTTTCAAAAATATGCTCATAAACTACTTGTAATCCTTTGTTGAGGAGGAGGGGGTGTCCCCTAAAAAAAAAAAAAGAGATAAAAAAAAAACGCGAGGTAGAAAGGCGTAGCTGGGAATCGAACCGAGTACATCTGCATTGTGAAGCGATGTCTTATCCACATGACCACTGTGCTTCCTTGATATTAACTTGTTCGGTTCAAGATGTTAACACTTTCTGATGTTAATGACTTTAAAAAATATGCTGATAAACTACTTGTAATCCTTTGTTGAGGAGGAGGGGGTGTCCCCTAAACAAAAAGAGAAATAAAAATAAACGCGAGGTAGAAAGGCGTAGCTGGGAATCGAACCGAGTACATCTGCATTGTGAAGCGATGCCTTATCCACATGACCACTGTGCTTCACTGATATTAACTTGTTCGGTTCAAGATGTTAACACTTTCTGATGTTAATGACTTTAAAAAATATGCTGATAAACTACTTGTAATCCTTTGTTGAGGAGGAGGGGGTGTCCCCTAAACAAAAAGAGAAATGAAAAAAAAAAACGCGAGGTAGAAAGGCGTAGCTGGGAATCGAACCGAGTACATCTGCATTGTGAAGCGATGTCTTATCCACATGTTTTCCTCTCCTCTGTCTTTCGCGACATAAATCATGTAATTATCATAACATTTAAAGGTATAGATCAGTTCTGGTCATGCGATTGCATTGTGAAAGAAACGTCGTGGAATCGATAAGAAGAGGTTGATCATCTAGCATATATGTATATTGGTGTGTTCTGCAAGGTTCTGGAATCATCAAAATGATAAGAAATTTTGCCCAGTCTAGGTAAAGTTACAAGCACTGTACACAGAAAGATGTATATGGGATATATCTATCTAGTCCGGATAGAATAATTTATCAACTAGTAGGCGGTTTCCCGGCAAAATTTGTATTATCATCATGTATAAGTCAAAACATATTCTTTCACATGATTGGTAATCTTATTATCCTCCATTTCATTTTTTGAGAGGGGGCGTTTCCAAAACTGGTCTATACCTTTAAGCCCTTTTTAAAACATTGTATGAAATTACTTCAATATGGTCGTATATAATTTCTTTGGGGAATGACTTGCACTGATTGAAATCATGTGCTAGTAAGTCTCTGTAAAAAAAGAGAAAAATCCGTTTAATTATTAGGAAATCTGAATATGTCTCGATAAGTGCGTGTCATTCATTTATTTCATCTCTGTCAAAAAAAAAGTATGTAATAATGTCGTCGGGCACGAGTGAAATGATTTTGTTAACGATTAATATCATAATGTAGTCTGTGTATTATCATCGGGCAGTGTAACAGGTGCGCATTAAAAACACTTGTACGAAATAAACACTTCATGTTTCAGTTATTTTTTTAGAACAGGTTCAGTGATTCAAATGCTCGTGTTTGTCACAAGCCGTCACTAAACTATCATCACATGACGCAAGTAAATCCTGAACCACTGAGAAACAAAGTAAATCGGAAACAGAGAAAATATGTGAAATATTCCCTTCCCCTCATTTCATACGCTGACTTGTATGCAGGCGCGGATCCAGGATTTCTTAGGGGGGGGGGGGGGGCCCACTTTTTTTTTTTGGTCCGAAAAAAAATCGTAACGACTAAGCCAGCCGCTAAATAAGCGGGGGGGGGGGGGGGGGGGGGGGGGGGGGGGGGGAAGAGGACACTATTTTTTTTTTTGGTCTCGAAATTTGAAAATTTGACATTTTGTTCCGTTGGGGGGGGGGGGGGGGGTGAGGTCACCTTTTTTAGGTCAGCCATTGGCATATTTTTTTTTTTTTAATTTTAAATTAAAAAAAAAATCACAGAAAAGGGGGGGGGGGTTGCTCCAAAATACACACATAAATAACCGAAGGGGGGAGGGTCAACCACCTAGGCGGGGTGGAGGCAAGAGCCTTTTGCCCCCATTTCCCTCTTTTATTCTTATTCCTCTTCTTTCTTTCTTTCTTTATCTCTCTTTCCCTTCTCTCTCTCTCTTATTTATTTTTGGCGGGGGGGGGGGGGGGAGGCAAGAGCCCTTTGCCCCCTTTCCTCTTTTATTCTTATTCCTCTTCTTTCTTTCTTTATTTTCTATTTCCCTTCTCTCTCTCTTTTTTATTTTTGGCGGGGGGGGGGGGAGGCAAGAGCCCTTTGCCCCCTTTCCCTCTTTTATTCTTATTCTTCTTCTTTCTTTCCTTTTATATCCTCTTTCCCTTTCCTTCTCTCTCTCTCTCACTCTTTCTTATTTATTTTTTTGGCGGGGTGTTGGGGGGGGGGGGGGAGCCAAGAGCCCTTTGCCCCCGTTTCCCTCTTTTATTCTTATTCTTCTTCCTCTTCTTCCTTTCCTTATCTTCTCTTCCCTTCTCTCTCTCTCTCTCTTATTTATTTTTAAGTGGGGTGGGGAGGAGGCAAGAGCCCTTCGGGTCCCCCTGTTCCCTCTTTTCTTCTTCTTCCTCTTTTTGTTTCCTTTTATATTCTCTTCCCCTTTTCCTTTTTTCCTTCTCTCTGTCTCTCCCATTAACATAGTAATAACGAATAAGACCACTCTGTAATCAAAACAAAACATTTTATTTAATACATTTTTAGATATACTCAAATTGGCAACTATTATCTTCTGTCCCATCCTCATTACATAAGGTAGTTAACTTCACACAGGAGCGCGCGACCGCGCACGCAATCCACCATCAGTACAGTGCAGTAGGCCAATGCATTTGTATTGTGCTGCGGTTTGGCGTGAAACCTGTGAAAAAGTGCATGCTAAAATCAATGTTTTTCAGAAAAATACACTCCCAAATACAACAAAATTGACACGAAACAGGTAAGAAACATAACGCCTCTTTGTTCATTATCTTCATTGGGACATTCGATTATTTATTTACCGAAATTTGGGGTCTGTTTTAGTAGGCTATATTTTGGATACCTTGCTGAATTAGCGCCCTTTTCACTGCCTGCATTCTGATGTTAAATTTCTTAGTGATTTGTTTAATTGTTATGTAGACTGCCTTGGATTATGGTAGCCTGACGTGAGGTTTCCACTTTTTGCATAGATCTTGTATCCATTTGTCTTTGCAGCCTTTTGTTTTCCTTCGTATTTCTCTGTTAATGAAGTCTGATCCTACCTTCGCATTTAGGTTGCCCATTACACCCATAAGAATGTCTTTTCTTGGGGATTTCTCTATATTGTTGCTTGTAGTAGGTTGTAAAATTCCTCAATTTCCTCTTTGCTGTTGGCTGTGTTTGGAGCGTAGACCTGTATTATGGTCAATGATCCTGTCTGTACTTCAAATCTTGCTGAAATAATTCTTGGTGAGATGGGGTTGTAACTTGTATATCCAAGAAGCACATTTTGGGTCGTTATGTTTAGGATCAATGCAACTCCTTCTCTAGATCTATGAATTTTATCTTTCCCGAGCATAGGATTCTATGTCCATCATGGGTAAAGTCTCCCATGTCTGTCCAGTGGGTTTCTGCAATGCCGATGATCCCAGCGAAATCCTTTGAGTTGATGCAGCAAGACAGTATGACTGACAAATAAATCTCAAGTTTTGTCTCAATTTAGTGCGCACACATAAGTATAGATATAGCAAGCGCACTCACCTCTATACCAATTTACGCATAGTGCTGCGCAAGAATAGGCCCATGCATGCACACGCAGTATGAAGCGCTCTAATCTCTACGCGCACTACTGCGCACTGAAAAAGAGTGCAATATGTCTGGAAAATATTGAACGCTTTTTAGTGCAATAGGCTCAGTAAATGAATCACACGTGACCACGCATGACCATTCATTTGATTAGGATCTGGGAGTGAGTTGTAAGAATAATGAACACATGATAAGAACATCATTTTGTCCCCCTTAAGCTCATAAAATATAATCTTTACTGATTGAATTGATTCAATTTCCTCTCTCTTTCTGTCTCTTTTTTTTTTATATCTTTCTTCATCTTTCTCTCTCTTTCCTCTTTCTCTTTCTCTTTCTCTTTCTCTCTTCTCTCTTTCTCTCTCTCACTCTCTCTCTCTCTCTCTCTTTATCCGTCCCTCTCTCTCTCTCTGTCTGTCATCTGACTACCTCTTTTTCCCTCTGCTGTCCTCTCATTCCCTGCTCTTCCTCTCTCTCTATCTATCTCATCTCTCTTTCTACTTACTACAGCATACCTGACGAGCGTGTGATGCCGTTTGGCATGAAGGACAACTTCTGGGAGATGGGAGAGGTGCCTTGCGGGCCTTGTACCGAGATCCACTTTGATCGTATTGGAGACCGTAATGCTCGTGCCATGGTCAACATGGATGTCCCTGATGTACTGGAGATCTGGAACCTTGTATTCATGCAGTCAACAGGTAATTCATGATGTTTACATATACTGTGTTATACCTAGAGAAACAAAGATAATAGTGTTCCCACTTGCTTGTCCTGCACTAAGTTAGAACATGCAACCATAGATCACAACAGTGTTGAAGATCTTATGCTAAATGTACATCCTATGATCTCCCATGCTGTGGGATGTCCTGAATCATGCTTTTCTAACAAGTCCACAAAAGAATAAAGATTTTTTAATTATCAGTCAACTGTTAATTTCAAAACTGAAGTATTGCTTCCAGCTGCAGTGTATTCTCTATATTTCTCAAAGGGTATTTGTAATAGTACAAAGACATCACTTCTGAAATGTCAAAGTAGGATTAGAAGGATGTTAGTTTTATGAATGCAATAAAAACATGCAATCTTCTTTAGTTTTGTTTTTTGTAAGAAATGATTTGAAGACTTCAAAATGCCTAACTTTTTAACTTTTGTACATACATGTTCCATCTACTGAAAAGCTTGCAAGTGTCATGTGGGGGAGGGGGAATATTGAGCATGAAACTGTCACCAACACTGATCAATAATACCCTCTATTTGTAACAGAGAATCTGATGGTATGCTGAAGGTTTTACCAAAGAAATGCGTTGACACAGGCATGGGTCTGGAAAGGATTGCTTCAGTCATTCAGGGCAGGTCATCCAACTACGATACTGATCTCTTCATGCCAATCTTTGATGCCATCCACAAGGTGAGTGCTGCAGTTCTACCTGCATGAAACCAGACGCCATAAGGCAGGCGCGGATCCAGGATTTCTTGGGGGGGGGGGGGGGGGGAGGCCCAAATTTAAAATTATGCGAGACAAATATTGGTACCTAATGGTGACCAGCAGTGACTTAATGGGGGGGGGGGGGGAGGGGTGGGTGCAGGGAGGGGCGAGTTTTCCCCTACCTCCTCTGCGAAGTGCGGAAGCTTCGACATTTCAATAAATTATTAAAGAAAGAAGGCGATTCGTTGTACCGTTCCCAAAAATAAGCCTCGTCTGAATTATGTTTCCCCCCCCCCCTCCCGCGCAGAGCGCGGAAGCTTTTACGTTTCATTAAATCATTAGAGAAAGAAAACGATTCGTTTCGTCGTTATCGACTCTTAAACTTCAGTTCCCTCTCCTCCCACGCGAAGTGCGGAAGCTTTGACGTTTCATTAAATCATTAGATAAAGAAGACGATTCGTTGTACCGTTATGACTTTTAATCCTTGTTTAAATTCAGTTTCCCCCTCCCGCGCGAAGCTTTTACGTTTTATTAGATCATCAGAGAAAGAAGACGATGTCGTACCGTTCTCGACTCTTAATCCTTGTCTAAATTCAGTTCCTTCCCTCCCGCTTTGGGAGGCTTCAACGTTTCATTCAATTATTAGAGAAAGAAGACGATTCGTTGTACCGTTCTCGAAAATAATCCTCGTCTGAATTTAATTAAGTTATACCCTCCTTCCCCCACCTTCCTGCGCGAAGCGCGGAAGCTTTGACGTTTTATTAAATTATTAGAGAAAGAAGACGATTCGTTGTACCGTTCTCGACTCTTAATTCTGTCTGAATTTCAAAAATGTTCTTTGTCTACTCCCTTTTCTTCCTACATCCTCTTCCTTTTCACTCCTCTCTTTTTTGGGGGGACCACCTCACCCCCCCCCCTGGCTACGCGCCTGCGGTCAGATGAACATATGTTGATACCTTGTCCGCCCCCGAAAGCTCAGGGGTTAAGGCAATAATTTACGGTCAGATTAGCATTCAGGGGTCCGCCTTAGGGCCCTAGGTGGGGTCCAGGGGGCAGAGCCCCCGGAAGTTCAGGGGTTTTAGGCATTTAATTACGTTCAGATGACCATTATTTTGATAGCTAATTGTGACACTGGCAGGTCACTAATTGGCGTGGGGTTCAGGGGGCGGAGCCTCCGGAAGCTCAAGGGTTTTAGGCACTCAATTACGGTCAGATGAGCAATAAGGGGCCTGCCTTAGGGCTCTTGGTTGGGTCTAGGGGGCAGAGCCCCCGGAAGCTCAGGGGTTTCAGGGAATAATTTTCCTGGTATCGCATCGCAATTTGCTATGCATTTTTGCATGACTGCTATACAAAATATCTTTTGTGTAGCAGTTTTCTTCCATAGAAATGTACAGAATTTCATTTGAAATATTTATCCATCGGCTGAAATTGCTAATCAAAAAATTTGAGGAAAATTATTCCCTGGGTTTTAGGCGTTTAATGACGGTCAGATGAGCATTTTTTGATACCTTATTATTTTGTGATACTGGCAGGACAATATTTGGCGTGGGGTCCAGTCCAGGGGGCAGAGCCCCCTGAAATCAGGGGTTTTAGGCATTAAATTACCGTCAGATGAGCACCTAAGGACCCGCCTTAGGGCCCTAGGTGGAATCCAGGGGGCAGAGCCCTCGGGGGTTTTAGGCATTTAATCATGGTCAGATGAGCATATTTTGATACCTCATTATAATGTGACACTGGTAGTTTACTATTTTGTCTTTCTTGCTCTCTTTCTTTCTATTTCTCTTCATCATATTTTTCAAAAAAAGTGGGGGGGGGGGGGGGGGGGGGGGGGGGGGCTCGAGGACCCCGATCCCTGCCGTTCCGCGGGCCCTGACATGTAGGCATCTCAAGAAGCATTTTCTTGCCTGGCTGTAAATTTAGGAATTAGTCATTCCCAACAAACGCATAAAAGAGTATAATTTACTTAAAAGTGAGGAAAAATCTCAGAAAATTATGTAATTTCAGCGTTATTTGTAAACCATCGTTATGGAATAAGAACTAAACCATGTTTGAATTTTATTTCCCCAAAGCCCCCCCCCCCCGATCTACACCTTGTTGGCGGGAAATTGCAACTGATATCCCTTAGGACCCTTACCTTTCTTCATTCTCTTTTTTTCTTCTTTCCCTTTCTCTCCTTTCCCTTTCCCTTCCCTTCTGTCTCTCTCTCTTTGAGGTTTGCTGGGGGGGGGGGGGGGAAGGTCACTTTGGCCCCCATCCCGCTCCACACATTGTTGGCGGGATTAACGCAACTGATCTCCCCTTCTTTTCTCCCTTTTCTTTTCTTCTTCCTCTTTTTTGTTCCCTTTTAGCTCTCCTCTTTCCTTTTCGTTCCTCTCTCTTTTTTTTTTAGCGGGGACGGGGGGGGGGGGGGGGGAGGCAACAGCCTGAGAGGCAAGTCCTCCCCCCCCCCCCGATCTCCCTCTTTTCTTTTCTTCTTCCTCTTCTTTTTTCCCTCCCTCTCCTCTTTCCCTTTCCCTTCCTCTCCTCTTTCCCTTTCCCTTCATTCCTTCTCTCTCTCTCCTTTTTTTTTTTTTTTTTTTTTGGTGGGGGGGGGGGGACGAGCAGGCCCGCTCGGCCCCCCCCCCCCTGGATCCACGCCTGCCATAAGGCTCATTCCCATGTGCGGCTGTGCCAATGTTTTTGTTTGTGTGTACTAAATTAATGGCAAGTAAGGATGGAAAAAGCAGCTGCGCACAACAAAGGGTTCACCTGTACTCATTTATCTTTTTGTTTCAATTTCAATCTATTCATGTTTCCAACAAAACATTACAAATCAATTATAAGCATTTAAAATGAATGTAGAAATACATGTTGGAAACAGAGGGGTCCACTAAAAATTAAGCTATGCTTGTACATGTGTGAACACCTCATGAGATACTAAATTGTGAAGTGCAGTATGCTCAGATCAAAACACCCACGTTCACCACAGCATTTGAGAACAAGCTGTATGTTGCATACCTGCCAACCCTCCCGCATTTTCCGGAATATTCTGAATTTCTGGAATTTTAGGACCTTAAAATGCGGAATATGCCGCATTTTGGAAATTTAAGCCGAATTGGGCTTGTTTTACCATTTGCCGCGATTTGTGTGAGAGCTCTCGTATAGTATACTGTGTGTGTTGATGGCTGCAGAAGCTCATTTGGCTTGTAATGACGGTTTTGCAGCGTATTTGTGCCACTGATCTCTACCGTAGAGATCAGCATATATATATGTGTGTGTGTGTGTGTGTAGCGCCTGGCCTGGCATGAACGCTCCATACATGTACACACACACACACACACACGCGATAAATTTTGAGCGAGCGGGTTAGCTTCGACGTGTGATCGTGAATGGGTTACTACACTTGCAAAAGTTTGTCAGTTTTACTTATAATGTCTTCCAATCCCAAGGAATACGCTTGCTTGATGGATTCATGGAGTTTACCGTACCGTACTGACTTTTCAATTGTCTAATCCAGTATTTGGAAGAAGTGTGTCAGGACTTGGTATACAGAGTGAACGCACGCTGCAATGCGGTACTGGAGCTGAGTCAGTGCCAGTGGAGTTGGGCAGCAATGGCGATGCGTACCGTACATGTACTGTGTATAGTTTGATCAATGCATGTCAAATGTTGCCGTAGCTGAGCTGTGTTGGACAATCGCTACACCGAATTGAATTGCATACCTGCCAACCCTTCCGAATAATCCGGAATATTCTGTTTTCTGGATTTTTAGGACCCCAAAATCCGGAATATTCTGTTTTTTCAAAAAAAATTCAAGATTTTTAAATTTAAAAAAAAAAAAAAAAAATAATAATTAGACCTATTATTGTATCCCCGGCAGTATGCCGGTGGGGTACTTTGGATTCAGCAGCGTTACGCCGCCGCCGCCGCCGCGTCCGCGTCCGCCGCCGTGTCCGCCGCCGCATCCGCCGCCGCCGTGTCATATTCTTGTGTGCGCTCTCACTGCCACATTTCTTGATGGATTTCCTTCAAATTTTGTATGGAGGTGTATCCTGGTATAATCTACATACCTCTAACTTTTGGTGATGCTGCCCCCAGTGTTCCGTCTTCTATAGGGTACAAGGCCATATTTCTGTGGATGGTTTGTGTGCGCTCTATAGGCCACATTTTTAAAGGGATTTTGTTCAAATTTTGAACGAAGGTGTATCTTGGTATAATCTACAAGCCTATAGATTTTAGTGATGCTGCCTCCAATGTTCCGTCTTTTATAGGGTCAAAGGTCATATTTTGATAGATGTCTTGTACCCTATTGTTATATAATTCCATATACATGTACCTACCTCAGTTCCACCTTTCATATCCAAGTACAAAAACACCTTTTTCAATTATGTTCTCTATTACTAAATCAAAAAAACAATGAGTGCTGAGTGGCAGAGTGATCATAATATTGCATTTAATTCAAAGTTCATACTCACTTTAACCATGTTCCAGCAAAATTTGGGCTTTAACTATTTTTTTTCAAGTCAGACTTTTCTTTTAACTACATACATGTGTACTTAACCGCATATCTTCATCCAACTTATCCTAACTAAAACTTAACACTGCATGTACTTAGTTTACAAAGACACTTCTCTTTTCAAGTTTACATTGCTTTTAACTTTTTCAGTTGATCAAAAAATTCTCCTTCAAGTTAAAATCTGTTTTTAATATATTTTTCATTATTATTTTGATTAACATTTAACAACCACACATTCCATTACTAAATCTTCCCCATCTTGCAATAGAAATTCTTTAACCACTTTTGTTTCCAATACTGACTCTGTATAAATGGAACTCCTTTTTTCATCAATTGCACCATCTTTTTCATGGGTTCAATTGTTATATTTTCTTTGCTGTTTTGCATGCACTCTGCCAGTCACATTTTTCTACAGATTTCTTTCAGATTTGTATTAAGGTTCATTATAGTTTACTATAGACCTCCACAAATTTGGTGCTGCTACCCCCAGTATTCCATCTCTTAAAGGGTCAAAGGTCATATTTAAAGGAATATCTTGTGTCGCTATGCAAATCATATTTCTTTCAAATTTTCTATAAATATGCATCATAATCTGATCTACACACCTATTGTTTTGGTGATGCTGCTCCTAGTCTTGACAATAGTCTGAGCCACTTGCGGCAATCTCTACGTCATCCTTTTGTTTCACAAAGTGGAGAGGGAATCTTTGTCCCTCCTTCCACATAAGGATAACACAAAATCGCTGCCACTGCCGGGGGATACATTCGCATTGCGCGGCAATACAGATTGCGATATTTCTAGTTATTATTATTTTTTTTTTGGTCTTGCTTAAGCCAAATTAATTTTGTTTTATCATTTGACGCGATGTGAGAGTTCACGTATTGCGTGCGTTGAAGGGCTGCATGATTGAGCAGCGAATTTGTTTTCGCTTTTTTGCAAAGATTTACCGCGTATTGCCAGTTACACTGCCGCTGCATGTGCGAACGCCTGTTAAGGGTACAAATTTCTTATTTTCGAAGACATACCGTGCTAAAATTTCTTAATTCTCGTTTTCAAATGTTGGCAGGTATGTATGTTGCATGGTAATTGCAGCTTGTACCTTAATACAGCTGATCTTCGTTATGTAATAGTATTTTTCACTGATAACGTTATTTATTACACTTCTGAGCTCCTATTCACTTTACCTTTTAAGGTTTGTCTATTAGGAAAATAGTAAGATATTGAAATAAAGAGAGATGTAATATAATTTGTGTTCTCTTACTTTGTTCAGGCGACTGGAGTGCGTCCATACACAGGGAACGTTGGAGCAGATGATGTTGATGGTGTAGACATGGCTTACAGGGTAGTGGCCGATCATATTCGCACATTGACCATAGCTCTCTTGGACGGAAGCTGGCCAGATAATGTTGGAAGAGGGTGAGTCCTTTTGAATGGATTTTCTAGCCCTCATTTGATCCTATTACAGTCTAATGGTTGGCAATACCTTACATGCCATACATTAAAATGACCTAAAGTTTGGTTCTATTTAACAACACATGGGATACATAATACATAAGATGGAATTTAAAAAACCTTTTTAACACACATATTTATGCCTTAATAATAATAATAATAAGAATAATATTTTGATGTCTCTGCTACAGCCTAGCCGGAGGCATTATGTTTCTGGTTGTCCGTCTGTCCGTACGTCTGTTCTTGTGATCACGTTATCTCAAGAACCGATTAATGGATTCCCGCCAAACTTTGGGCATGTATGTATCTTGCAGAGCCGATGAAGTGATTAGATTTTGGGGTCACGAGGTCAAAGGTCACATTGCTCATTATGTATGCAAAAACAGCTTGTGATCACACTATCACTAGAACCGATGGATGGATTAGCATCAAACTCTAAACATGTATGTATCTTGCAGAGCCTAAGAAATGGCCAGTTTCGTAATGTATTCACAGACCTTTAAATCGCATTACGTAATCGGATGGTCGGTCAATCAAAGAACTCGTGTTGCATAGCAGCCTACACTCTGAGTGCATACAATACATGACTGTGTTTATTTATTTATTTAAAATGGTTTATTTCATTCAAAAACATTCGCGGCCCGAGAGCCGAATTGCAGTTTCTTTTACAAAGTATACATCAATGACAGAGTAAAATTACACGTAAAACATTATGCATGGTAAAATTATGGTAGTAAAATTGGAATTCTTTTGTACATATGATATATAATTGTAATTGTGCTTTAACGACCTTGGCAAATTGCTTGGTACATGTACAGAAATTCGAATTGTATTACCATATTTGCAATAAAATTATATATTGAAATTATACAATATATGAATAGTAATACATTTTTTATATTAAAAAAAATTAAATGCTTTGGTTTGAAAATGCATAGCCAGATGGGTAAGGTATGGTTATGGTGTTTTCTTCAATAACAGAAACAGAGACAACAACAGAAACCAAATCCAGGAATTATAAAATCAAATAGATGCTACAATGATTTAAACAAGTATACATTGTAGTTAAAATGCAGAAAATTTTGTATTTGGGCCAATTTAGTAAAAGGTACATGTAGAATATTGCATAAAAATAAGATAAGTTTCGCATAAAAAACATGGATAAAAGGTTGCCATTGTAATATTCGATATAATGTGCATCATCTTGGGAATTGTTAAAAAGTCAAACAGAAATTTTGTACAATTAAATCTGATTTAGTTTAAAAAAGTAAAATTCTATAGTAACATTATTCAAAAATGCATTCACATGTCACCCTTTTATTTAGGAAGTTATATCAGAGAAATAGACAGAGAGAGATGGAGAAAGAGAGAAAGAAGGAGAGTGAGAAAAGTAAGAGAGAGGGGGGAGGGTGGGAGAGAGATAGGGAGAGAAAGAGAGATAGAGAGAGAGGAGAGAGAGGGAGAGCGAGAGAGAGAGAGAGAGAGAGAGGGGAGACAAAGAGTGAGAGTAACAAGACAGAGAGCTAGAGAACAAGGAAGCCATGAAGAGGGTCTCCTCGCTCCGCAGCACAGCACTGACATAGAGGAGAAAATAGGGGTAATGAGAGAGTGAAAGTAGTAGAGAACAATGAATGTGTTCGTCGAAGGTGAAACTAGTAATTATTCAGTACTATGAGCGTTTAACAATCTGACTAGATATGGCAACGGACTGTTTCTATACCGTGTCGTTTTGCATGGCATTTCAGTGAACTTGCTTTTATTTCTCAGATTTCGAGAATGGGAGTCCCCACGTGTTTGGGGTAGCCAATGACTAAACTTTGACCCAGGCTCGAGCAGCTTCTTTGCAAATTTGAGGCACAGACATTCTCTGCGGTCACTCAAAGAGGACACTTTACACAGTTTGCAAGGTGTGATTGTATTATTTGCTTTCGCTATTATGAGAAAGAGAGAGAGAGAGATAGAAGAAAAAGGAGGCAGTTTCAAACTTGAATAATAAATATCTTTGAGATGTGATTTTGTTCCACATACATTTGATCTTGAAACTGAGTACAAATTTGGACGTAGAAATGAAAGAAGTGATAACTATTTTCTACCCGTTCGCACACCAGTCACCTCTGCTTGCAGAAGAACGTGCGTGCGCGTGCTTACAACGTGTACATGTACGTGTAGGCGCGATTCACATTTTCATAATGAAAACAAATTTACGGATTAAAAAAAGTTTGTGAAACGCCTCGATACAAATTATTTCAAGGCGGACGAGAAACGGCTAACGAGAAGCAAGCACAGTGAACACAGAATCAATGTTATTAACAAAAGTAACGAGAAATAATGATAATAAAGGTAATAATGGTGACACTATAAGTTCTTTGTATTGATAAAACAATATTTATTAAAAATGTCATCCGTTGACAGAGAACTAGAATAAGAAGGATGAATAATGATAAACAATTAATTTTGAGTGGAAAAAATGAAGAAAAACAATGAGCAAGGAAGAAGAATGTGTGAAGTAAAGATTGATAAATAATGATAGAGCAATGGAAAAAAGGAGTAATACAAGTAATAATAAAAAAACACTTATGATAGCAAGGAAGAAGAATAAGGATGATGAATAATTTTATTGTTTAAAATAAGATTAGAAATTAAAGATAAAGGTTAGTTCTGGTAATGCGATTGCATTGTGAAAGAAAAGGTGTGGAATGGATCAGAAACAGTTGATCATGTAGCTTGTAATTATTGGTGTGCACTGCAAGGTTCTGGAGTCATCAAAATCATAATAAATTTGGCCGAGTCTTGGTAAAGTAACAAGCACTGTACACAGAAAGCTATATATGGGACAACACACATGGTGTCGGGGCTAGTTCTACCTTGATTTCCTTGTCTTTCTTTGCTCATTACTCAGCCAGTATACATTTTCTTCCAAAATTGTTTGGCACATGTCATTTATTTGTACTCTTGAACATTCAGTGTAAGTTTCGTTTGATTCTGTGAGAATTAATTTTTTTTTTTTTACCAGAACTGGAGTTTATCTTTAAGTTTGATTATCATAAAATAAAAGTTAAAAGTATTATAATTATGCCGGACCTTCGTTATTCAAGAAGCAATTATTATTATTAAAAAAACGATTTTAAAAATAAATTTTGTTATTACATTTTCTTTTACTTTTTGTTTGTTTAATATTTATATATATTTTCTTTTTGTTCAAGTTGGTATGTTGTGTCTTTTTGCGTCGGTTTGACCTGTAGTCTAATAACACACGAGTCGCTATCTGCCGAGAGCTAGAGGGGGGATTTTAGTCGAGCTTTTCCAAAGGGCCGTCGGAAAATATTAGTCGAAAGTCTTCAAAACTCTTAAAAGCCTTGAGTTTTCGACGATCATAAATGCATAGTCTGCCATATTCTCTACTAGATAATTGAATTCATCATAGATCCCAAAGTCAGGAATATCGTCAAACATAAGGGAGGTTTGTAACTATAGTTCACTAAATGAAAATCCTGCCCGTTGTGATTAGCCACACACACTCACGTCTACTGAGTGACACGGGCCCCGTAGGTCAGGGGCTATGGGCAGGCTAATGTACGCCACTACGGAACCTAATTTAACGAGTCTTTTCTCGGGTGTATACCGTGGTCAAAACTCCTCTTTTTCTAAGAAAATATTGCAGCTGCCTGAAACTCAGCTTGTTGAATGGCAAGTTGCGAGATATTTCCGGCCGAAACAGAAATTTATATATATAAACTCAGTTTGATAGAAAGATATGAATGAAATTTAACAGCAAGAACCGACAGTCTAATACAAAATGCACAGATTCAATATAGCGGTACGGCAAAGCTTGACCGACCTAGTTACTACAGCAACCGCGCATTACGTAATCGCCGAAACTTGCCCATTGATTAGATTTTAGGGTCATGAGGTCAAAGGTCAAAAGTCATGGGGCCTATTATGTACTTTGGTTTGTAAAATCGCTCTGTGGCGGAGGCATTACTTTCGACTGCGCGCGGTCTAAGTTCCAGGCCTATATGATAGAATCCTATGAAAAGAGAAAGAGAGAGAGAGAGAGAGAGAAAGAAAAGAGTCCTCCAACAAAAAACAAAAATAATAAATATAATGATGATGATATTAATTGTTTAAAAAAAAAAGAACAAGAAAAGAACAAAGAAAGGATCAAATGATCATGAGTCGTAGCAGTTAGTAGTCTATGAGCAAAGAATTAATTTGGGTATTGGATTCATGTCTGCAAAAGAGCATAGTGGACAGAGTGTTGGTCTTTAAAAGGATTAACCTGGGTTTAGTGCTTGTATAAGGTATTCTTTTTAATTACTCAGTCTCTCAGACAGGACTAAAAGCTGTTGATTCCTCAGAGCTTCAGAGAATAATAATATACATACTTCATTAGCTAATCGTTACATGATCCAAGCTTGAATTATTAAGGCATATACAGCTGAATTGGCAGTGACGTGAGGGCAATTGTTCTGATATGTTCATTTGATAGTTCTGTTGTGGGAAGAGCATTGTGTAGTAAAACTACCTTACTTCAAATAATAAATCTGCTTACCGTAATATTCCAAATTGTAGAAGAATCTGAGTACAAATCAAATTTTGATTTGTATGATGAAATTGCATTTACAGATGTTGCGTTTTTCTCCCCTTTCAATTTTTCAGAGCGTATCAAGCACTCAACTTCAAGCATGAAAATCTGTCGCTGATTCAACCCTGATTCGTGGCGCCCCTGCCTCCTCTTCAACCAGCGGTAAGTCTACATCACCACCATAATTTAAAACCAGTCATCATGTGGTTTTAGCTGATGATGAGAGTGACATGGTTTTAGCTGATGATGATGGAGGTGTGGTTTTAGCTGATGATGATGGAGGTGTGGTTTTAGCTGATGATGATGTGAAGGTGGTTTTAGCTGATGATGAGAGTGACATGGTTTTAGCTGATGATGAGAGTGACATGGTTTTAGGTGATGTTGATGGGGATGTGGTTTTAGCTGATGATGATTGGATGTGGTTTTAGCTGATGATGAGAGTGACATGGTTTTAGGTGATGTTGATGGGAATGTGGTTTTAGATGATGATGATGGGAGGTGGTTTTAGCTGATGATGATGTGGATAGGGTTTTAGCTGATGATGAGAGTGCCATAGTTTTAGGTGATGTTGATTGGGATGTGGTTTTAGATGGTGATGATGGGAGGTGGTTTTAGCTGATGATGAGAGCGAGGTGGTTTTAGCTGATGATGATGGGATGTGGTTTTATCTGATGTTGATGTGGATGGGGTTTTAACTGATGATGAGAGTGACATGGTTTTAGGTGATGTTGATGCGGATGTGGTTTTAGATGATGATGATGGGAGGCGGTTCTAGCTGATGATGATGTGGATGCGGTTTTAGCTGATGATGAGCGTGACATGGTTTTAGCTGATGATGATGGGGATGTGGTTTTAGCTGATGATGATGGGATGTGGTTTTAGCTGATGATGAGAGCGAGGTGGTTTTAGGTGATGATGATGGGATGTGGTTTTATCTGATGTTGATGGGGATGTGGTTTAGCTGATGATGATGGGAGGGGGTATTAGCTGATGATGATGTAGATGCGGTTTTAGCTGATGATGAGAGTGACGTGGTTTTAGCTGATGATGATGTCGATGTGGTTTAAGTTGATGATGAGAGTGACATGGTTCTAGCTGATATTGATCGGGATGTGGTTTTAGCTGATGATGAGAGTTACATGTTTTTAGCTGATGATGTTGGGGATGTGGTTTTAGATTATGAAGGTGGTGATGTTTTTTTAATTGGTCCTACACGAAAAGGCAAAGGCCCGACATGTCAAAACTGCTGCTTTTGGGGGCTAATCACTACAGGAGGCTGCAACCCTTGCCCTCCTTTTAAATATAGCTTTTTCATCTTCAAAACAAAGTAGTACCCGGAAGAAAAATATCTGGTCCTTTGAAATGCTTACAGCTTTGAACAACCCAAAAAAAATTCTGCCCATGGTGTATAACCCCTTCATAAGTTCTTCTAAACACAACTATTATATCAATCTCTTTACCCGAAGGGCATACAAAACCATTCCATGTCATATCAGAACAAAGGCCTTTTTATGTAGACTCTTTCCCCCGCAGGTACTGAAGATCATCTGGAGTATTATGTTCATGAGTGTGGAGACATCTTAAACCATCAGCATGAAGCTACCGGCAGACTCAACCGACGCTAAACACATTATGGAGCATGTCTTTGCACAGGTGTCGGAATTCAAGAAACTCGACCAAGTAAGATCATGAACAGGGAAATTCCCTTTTGATGAGTTATGGGATCATATTGTGTGAGAGCAGTATACCATGTTGGTAGTTTTCATTTAAAGATGACATGTTTCTTTCTTGAAATGTTCCTGAACTTTCACTCTGCACTTATTCTTATGCCTCCGCTACAAAGTAGCCGGAGGCAGTATGTTTTCTGGTTGTCCATACGTCCCGTTCTTGTGATCGCTTTATCTCAAGAACCAATTAATGGATTACCGCCAAACTTTGGTCATGTATGTATCTTGCAGAGCTAATGAAGTGGTTAGATTTTGGGGTCACGAGGTCAAAGGTCACAGGGCTTATTACGTATGTATAAATAGCTTGTGATTGCGTTATCTCAAGAACCGATTAATAGATTCCCGCCAAACTTGGGTTCATCTGTACTCACTTATCTTTTTGTTTCAATTTCAATTTCATTTTGTTCATGTTTCCAACAAAACATTACGAAGCAATTATAAGCATTTAAAACAAATGTAGAAATACATGTTGGAAACAGACAGGTCCACTAAAAAGCAATGCTTGTATATGTGTGAACACCTAATGAGATACTAAAGTGCAGTATGCTCAAAGCACCCACGTTCACCACAGCATTTGGGAACAAGCTGTATGTTGCATGGAAATTGCAGCTTGTACCTACAGCTGATCTTCGTTATTTAATAGTATTTTTCACTGATAACATTCTTTATTACACTTCTGGGCTCCTATTCACTTTACTCTTCATGGTTTGTCTATTAGGAAAATAGTAAGATATTGAAATAAAGAGAGATGTAATATAATTTGTGTTCTCTTACTTTGTTCAGGCGACTGGAGTGCGTCCATACACAGGGAACGTTGGAGCAGATGATGTTGATGGTGTAGACATGGCTTACAGGGTAGTGGCTGATCATATTCGCACATTGACCATAGCTCTCTTGGACGGAAGCTGGCCAGATAATGTTGGAAGAGGGTGAGTCCTTTTGAATGGATTTTCTAGCCCTCATTTGATCTTATTACAGTCTAATGGTTGGCAATACCTTACATGCCATACATTAAAATTACCTAAAGTTTGGTTCTATTTAACAACACATGGGATACATAATAAATACATAAGATGGAATTTAAAAAACCTTTTTAACACACATATTTATGCCTTAATAATAATAATAATAAGAATAATATTTTGATGTCTCTGCTACAGCCTAGCCGGAGGCATTATGTTTTCTGGTTGTCCGTCTGTCCGTACGTCTGTTCTCGTGATCACGTTATCTCAAGAACCGATTGATGGATTACCGCCAAACTTGGGTCATGTATAATTCTTGCAGAGCTAATGACCAGATAAAATTTTAAGGTCACAAGGTAAAAGGTCACATGGCTTATTATGTATGCAAAAACAGCTTGGATCGCGTTATCTCAGAAACGATTAATGGATTAATGGATAATATTAATTGTTTAAAAAAAAAGAAGAACAGAAGAAAAGAACAAAGAAAGGATCAAATGATCATGAGTCGTAGCAGTTAATAGTCTATGAGCAAAGAATTAATTTGGGTATTGGATTCATGTCTGCAAAAGAGCATAGTGGACAGAGTGTTGGTCTTTGAAAGGATTAACCTTGGTTTAGTGCTTGTATAAGGTATTCTTTTTAATTACTCAGTCTCTCAGATAGGACTTAAAGCTGTTGATTCCTCAGAGCTTCAGAGAATAATAATATACATACTTGCAAGCTTGAATTATTAAGGCGTATACAGCTGAATTGGCAGTGACGTGAGGGCAATTGTTCTGATATGTTCATTTGATAGTTCTGTTGTGGGAAGAGCATTGTGTAGTAAAACTACCTTACTTCAAATAATAAATCTGCTTACCGTAATATTCCAAATTGTAGAAGAATCTGAGTACAAATCAAATTTTGATTTGTATGATGAAATTGCATTTACAGATGTTGCGTTTTTTTCCCCTTTCAATTTTTCAGAGCGTATCAAGCACTCAACTTCAAGCATGAAAATCTGTCGCTGATTCAACCCCGATTCGTGGCGCCCCTGCCTCCTCTTCAACCAGCGGTAAGTCTACATCACCACCATAATTTAAAACCAGTCATCATGTGGTTTTAGCTGATGATGAGAGTGACATGGTTTTAGGTGATGTTGATGGGGATGTGGTTTTAGCTGATGATGAGAGTGACATGGTTTTAGCTGATGATGATGGAGGTGTGGTTTTAGCTGATGATGATGGAGGTGTGGTTTTAGCTGATGATGATGTGAAGGTGGTTTTAGCTGATGATGAGAGTGACATGGTTTTAGCTGATGATGAGAGTGACATGGTTTTAGGTGATGTTGATGGGGATGTGGTTTTAGCTGATGATGATTGGATGTGGTTTTAGCTGATGATGAGAGTGACATGGTTTTAGCTGATGATGAGAGTGACATGGTTTTAGGTGATGTTGATGGGGATGTGGTTTTAGCTGATGATGATTGGATGTGGTTTTAGCTGATGATGAGAGTGACATGGTTTTAGGTGATTTTGATGGGGATGTGGTTTTAGATGATGATGATGGGAGGTGGTTCTAGCTGATGATGATGTGGATGGGGTTTTAGCTGATGATGAGCGTGACATGGTTTTAGCTGATGATGATGGGGATGTGGTTTTAGCTGATGATGATGGGATGTGGTTTTAGCTGATGATGAGAGCGAGGTGGTTTTAGCTGATGATGATGGGATGTGGTTTTATCTGATGTTGATGGGGATGTGGTTTTAGCAGATGATGATGGGAGGGGGTTTTAGCTGATGATGATGTAGATGCGGTTTTAGCTGATGATGAGAGTGACGTGGTTTTAGCTGATGATGATGTCGATGTGGTTTAAGTTGATGATGAGAGTGACATGGTTCTAGCTGATATTGATCGGGATGTGGTTTTAGCTGATGATGAGAGTTACATGTTTTTAGCTGATGATGTTGGGGATGTGGTTTTAGATTATGAAGGTGGTGATGTTTTTTTAATTGGTCCTACACGAAAAGGCAAAGGCCCGACATGTCAAAACTGCTGCTTTTGGGGGCTAATCACTACAGGAGGCTGCAACCCTTGCCCTCCTTTTAAATATAGCTTTTTCATCTTCAAAACAAAGTAGTACCCGGAAGAAAAATATCTGGTCCTTTGAAATGCTTACAGCTTTGAACAACCCAAAAAAAATTCTGCCCATGGTGTATAACCCCTTCATAAGTTCTTCTAAACACAACTATTATATCAATCTCTTTACCCGAAGGGCATACAAAACCATTCCATGTCATATCAGAACAAAGGCCTTTTTATGTAGACTCTTTCCCCCGCAGGTACTGAAGATCATCTGGAGTATTATGTTCATGAGTGTGGAGACATCTTAAACCATCAGCATGAAGCTACCGGCAGACTCAACCGACGCTAAACACATTATGGAGCATGTCTTTGCACAGGTGTCGGAATTCAAGAAACTCGACCAAGTAAGATCATGAACAGGGAAATTCCCTTTTTGATGAGTTATGGGATCATATTGTGTGAGAGCAGTATACCATGTTGGTAGTTTTCATTTAAAGATGACATGTTTCTTTCTTGAAATGTTCCTGAACTTTCACTCTGCACTTATTCTTATGCCTCCGCTACAAAGTAGCCGGAGGCAGTATGTTTTCTGGTTGTCCATACGTCCCGTTCTCGTGATCGCTTTATCTCAAGAACCAATTAATGGATTACCGCCAAACTTTGGTCATGTATGTATCTTGCAGAGCTAATGAAGTGGTTAGATTTTGGGGTCACGAGGTCAAAGGTCACAGGGCTTATTACGTATGTATAAATAGCTTGTGATTGCGTTATCTCAAGAACCGATTAATAGATTCCCGCCAAACTTGGGTTCATCTGTACTCACTTATCTTTTTGTTTCAATTTCAATTTCATTTTGTTCATGTTTCCAACAAAACATTACGAAGCAATTATAAGCATTTAAAACAAATGTAGAAATACATGTTGGAAACAGACAGGTCCACTAAAAAGCAATGCTTGTATATGTGTGAACACCTAATGAGATACTAAAGTGCAGTATGCTCAAAGCACCCACGTTCACCACAGCATTTGGGAACAAGCTGTATGTTGCATGGAAATTGCAGCTTGTACCTACAGCTGATCTTCGTTATTTAATAGTATTTTTCACTGATAACATTCTTTATTACACTTCTGGGCTCCTATTCACTTTACTCTTCATGGTTTGTCTATTAGGAAAATAGTAAGATATTGAAATAAAGAGAGATGTAATATAATTTGTGTTCTCTTACTTTGTTCAGGCGACTGGAGTGCGTCCATACACAGGGAACGTTGGAGCAGATGATGTTGATGGTGTAGACATGGCTTACAGGGTAGTGGCTGATCATATTCGCACATTGACCATAGCTCTCTTGGACGGAAGCTGGCCAGATAATGTTGGAAGAGGGTGAGTCCTTTTGAATGGATTTTCTAGCCCTCATTTGATCTTATTACAGTCTAATGGTTGGCAATACCTTACATGCCATACATTAAAATTACCTAAAGTTTGGTTCTATTTAACAACACATGGGATACATAATAAATACATAAGATGGAATTTAAAAAACCTTTTTAACACACATATTTATGCCTTAATAATAATAATAATAAGAATAATATTTTGATGTCTCTGCTACAGCCTAGCCGGAGGCATTATGTTTTCTGGTTGTCCGTCTGTCCGTACGTCTGTTCTCGTGATCACGTTATCTCAAGAACCGATTGATGGATTACCGCCAAACTTGGGTCATGTATAATTCTTGCAGAGCTAATGACCAGATAAAATTTTAAGGTCACAAGGTAAAAGGTCACATGGCTTATTATGTATGCAAAAACAGCTTGGATCGCGTTATCTCAGAAACGATTAATGGATTAATGGATAATATTAATTGTTTAAAAAAAAAGAAGAACAGAAGAAAAGAACAAAGAAAGGATCAAATGATCATGAGTCGTAGCAGTTAATAGTCTATGAGCAAAGAATTAATTTGGGTATTGGATTCATGTCTGCAAAAGAGCATAGTGGACAGAGTGTTGGTCTTTGAAAGGATTAACCTTGGTTTAGTGCTTGTATAAGGTATTCTTTTTAATTACTCAGTCTCTCAGATAGGACTTAAAGCTGTTGATTCCTCAGAGCTTCAGAGAATAATAATATACATACTTGCAAGCTTGAATTATTAAGGCGTATACAGCTGAATTGGCAGTGACGTGAGGGCAATTGTTCTGATATGTTCATTTGATAGTTCTGTTGTGGGAAGAGCATTGTGTAGTAAAACTACCTTACTTCAAATAATAAATCTGCTTACCGTAATATTCCAAATTGTAGAAGAATCTGAGTACAAATCAAATTTTGATTTGTATGATGAAATTGCATTTACAGATGTTGCGTTTTTTTCCCCTTTCAATTTTTCAGAGCGTATCAAGCACTCAACTTCAAGCATGAAAATCTGTCGCTGATTCAACCCCGATTCGTGGCGCCCCTGCCTCCTCTTCAACCAGCGGTAAGTCTACATCACCACCATAATTTAAAACCAGTCATCATGTGGTTTTAGCTGATGATGAGAGTGACATGGTTTTAGGTGATGTTGATGGGGATGTGGTTTTAGCTGATGATGAGAGTGACATGGTTTTAGCTGATGATGATGGAGGTGTGGTTTTAGCTGATGATGATGGAGGTGTGGTTTTAGCTGATGATGATGTGAAGGTGGTTTTAGCTGATGATGAGAGTGACATGGTTTTAGCTGATGATGAGAGTGACATGGTTTTAGGTGATGTTGATGGGGATGTGGTTTTAGCTGATGATGATTGGATGTGGTTTTAGCTGATGATGAGAGTGACATGGTTTTAGCTGATGATGAGAGTGACATGGTTTTAGGTGATGTTGATGGGGATGTGGTTTTAGCTGATGATGATTGGATGTGGTTTTAGCTGATGATGAGAGTGACATGGTTTTAGCTGATGATGAGAGTGACATGGTTTTAGGTGATGTTGATGGGGATGTGGTTTTAGCTGATGATGATTGGATGTGGTTTTAGCTGATGATGAGAGTGACATGGTTTTAGGTGATTTTGATGGGGATGTGGTTTTAGATGATGATGATGGGAGGTGGTTCTAGCTGATGATGATGTGGATGGGGTTTTAGCTGATGATGAGCGTGACATGGTTTTAGCTGATGATGATGGGGATGTGGTTTTAGCTGATGATGATGGGATGTGGTTTTAGCTGATGATGAGAGCGAGGTGTTTTAGCTGATGATGATGGGATGTGGTTTTATCTGATGTTGATGGGGATGTGGTTTTAGCAGATGATGATGGGAGGGGGTTTTAGCTGATGATGATGTAGATGCGGTTTTAGCTGATGATGAGAGTGACGTGGTTTTAGCTGATGATGATGTCGATGTGGTTTAAGTTGATGATGAGAGTGACATGGTTCTAGCTGATATTGATCGGGATGTGGTTTTAGCTGATGATGAGAGTTACATGTTTTTAGCTGATGATGTTGGGGATGTGGTTTTAGATTATGAAGGTGGTGATGTTTTTTTAATTGGTCCTACACGAAAAGGCAAAGGCCCGACATGTCAAAACTGCTGCTTTTGGGGGCTAATCACTACAGGAGGCTGCAACCCTTGCCCTCCTTTTAAATATAGCTTTTTCATCTTCAAAACAAAGTAGTACCCGGAAGAAAAATATCTGGTCCTTTGAAATGCTTACAGCTTTGAACAACCCAAAAAAAATTCTGCCCATGGTGTATAACCCCTTCATAAGTTCTTCTAAACACAACTATTATATCAATCTCTTTACCCGAAGGGCATACAAAACCATTCCATGTCATATCAGAACAAAGGCCTTTTTATGTAGACTCTTTCCCCCGCAGGTACTGAAGATCATCTGGAGTATTATGTTCATGAGTGTGGAGACATCTTAAACCATCAGCATGAAGCTACCGGCAGACTCAACCGACGCTAAACACATTATGGAGCATGTCTTTGCACAGGTGTCGGAATTCAAGAAACTCGACCAAGTAAGATCATGAACAGGGAAATTCCCTTTTTGATGAGTTATGGGATCATATTGTGTGAGAGCAGTATACCATGTTGGTAGTTTTCATTTAAAGATGACATGTTTCTTTCTTGAAATGTTCCTGAACTTTCACTCTGCACTTATTCTTATGCCTCCGCTACAAAGTAGCCGGAGGCAGTATGTTTTCTGGTTGTCCATACGTCCCGTTCTCGTGATCGCTTTATCTCAAGAACCAATTAATGGATTACCGCCAAACTTTGGTCATGTATGTATCTTGCAGAGCTAATGAAGTGGTTAGATTTTGGGGTCACGAGGTCAAAGGTCACAGGGCTTATTACGTATGTATAAATAGCTTGTGATTGCGTTATCTCAAGAACCGATTAATAGATTCCCGCCAAACTTGGGTTCATCTGTACTCACTTATCTTTTTGTTTCAATTTCAATTTCATTTTGTTCATGTTTCCAACAAAACATTACGAAGCAATTATAAGCATTTAAAACAAATGTAGAAATACATGTTAGAAACAGACAGGTCCACTAAAAAGCAATGCTTGTATATGTGTGAACACCTTATGATATACTAAATTGTAAAGTGCAGTATGCTCAAAGCACCCACGTTCACCACAGCATTTGGGAACAAGCTGTATGTTGCATGGAAATTGCAGCTTGTACCTACAGCTGATCTTCGTTATTTAATAGTATTTTTCACTGATAACATTCTTTATTACACTTCTGGGCTCCTATTCACTTTACTCTTCATGGTTTGTCTATTAGGAAAATAGTAAGATATTGAAATAAAGAGAGATGTAATATAATTTGTGTTCTCTTACTTTGTTCAGGCGACTGGAGTGCGTCCATACACAGGGAACGTTGGAGCAGATGATGTTGATGGTGTAGACATGGCTTACAGGGTAGTGGCTGATCATATTCGCACATTGACCATAGCTCTCTTGGACGGAAGCTGGCCAGATAATGTTGGAAGAGGGTGAGTCCTTTTGAATGGATTTTCTAGCCCTCATTTGATCTTATTACAGTCTAATGGTTGGCAATACCTTACATGCCATACATTAAAATTACCTAAAGTTTGGTTCTATTTAACAACACATGGGATACATTATACATAAGATGGAATTTAAAAAACCTTTTTAACACACATATTTATGCCTTAATAATAATAATAATAAGAATAATATTTTGATGTCTCTGCTACAGCCTAGCCGGAGGCATTATGTTTTCTGGTTGTCCGTCTGTCCGTACGTCTGTTCTCGTGATCACGTTATCTCAAGAACCGATTGATGGATTACCGCCAAACTTGGGTCATGTATAATTCTTGCAGAGCTAATGACCAGATAAAATTTTAAGGTCACAAGGTAAAAGGTCACATGGCTTATTATGTATGCAAAAACAGCTTGGATCGCGTTATCTCAGAAACGATTAATGGATTAATGGATAATATTAATTGTTTAAAAAAAAAGAAGAACAGAAGAAAAGAACAAAGAAAGGATCAAATGATCATGAGTCGTAGCAGTTAATAGTCTATGAGCAAAGAATTAATTTGGGTATTGGATTCATGTCTGCAAAAGAGCATAGTGGACAGAGTGTTGGTCTTTGAAAGGATTAACCTTGGTTTAGTGCTTGTATAAGGTATTCTTTTTAATTACTCAGTCTCTCAGATAGGACTTAAAGCTGTTGATTCCTCAGAGCTTCAGAGAATAATAATATACATACTTGCAAGCTTGAATTATTAAGGCGTATACAGCTGAATTGGCAGTGACGTGAGGGCAATTGTTCTGATATGTTCATTTGATAGTTCTGTTGTGGGAAGAGCATTGTGTAGTAAAACTACCTTACTTCAAATAATAAATCTGCTTACCGTAATATTCCAAATTGTAGAAGAATCTGAGTACAAATCAAATTTTGATTTGTATGATGAAATTGCATTTACAGATGTTGCGTTTTTTTCCCCTTTCAATTTTTCAGAGCGTATCAAGCACTCAACTTCAAGCATGAAAATCTGTCGCTGATTCAACCCCGATTCGTGGCGCCCCTGCCTCCTCTTCAACCAGCGGTAAGTCTACATCACCACCATAATTTAAAACCAGTCATCATGTGGTTTTAGCTGATGATGAGAGTGACATGGTTTTAGGTGATGTTGATGGGGATGTGGTTTTAGCTGATGATGAGAGTGACATGGTTTTAGCTGATGATGATGGAGGTGTGGTTTTAGCTGATGATGATGGAGGTGTGGTTTTAGCTGATGATGATGTGAAGGTGGTTTTAGCTGATGATGAGAGTGACATGGTTTTAGCTGATGATGAGAGTGACATGGTTTTAGGTGATGTTGATGGGGATGTGGTTTTAGCTGATGATGATTGGATGTGGTTTTAGCTGATGATGAGAGTGACATGGTTTTAGCTGATGATGAGAGTGACATGGTTTTAGGTGATGTTGATGGGGATGTGGTTTTAGCTGATGATGATTGGATGTGGTTTTAGCTGATGATGAGAGTGACATGGTTTTAGGTGATTTTGATGGGGATGTGGTTTTAGATGATGATGATGGGAGGTGGTTCTAGCTGATGATGATGTGGATGGGGTTTTAGCTGATGATGAGCGTGACATGGTTTTAGCTGATGATGATGGGGATGTGGTTTTAGCTGATGATGATGGGATGTGGTTTTAGCTGATGATGAGAGCGAGGTGGTTTTAGCTGATGATGATGGGATGTGGTTTTATCTGATGTTGATGGGGATGTGGTTTTAGCAGATGATGATGGGAGGGGGTTTTAGCTGATGATGATGTAGATGCGGTTTTAGCTGATGATGAGAGTGACGTGGTTTTAGCTGATGATGATGTCGATGTGGTTTAAGTTGATGATGAGAGTGACATGGTTCTAGCTGATATTGATCGGGATGTGGTTTTAGCTGATGATGAGAGTTACATGTTTTTAGCTGATGATGTTGGGGATGTGGTTTTAGATTATGAAGGTGGTGATGTTTTTTAATTGGTCCTACACGAAAAGGCAAAGGCCCGACATGTCAAAACTGCTGCTTTTGGGGGCTAATCACTACAGGAGGCTGCAACCCTTGCCCTCCTTTTAAATATAGCTTTTTCATCTTCAAAACAAAGTAGTACCCGGAAGAAAAATATCTGGTCCTTTGAAATGCTTACAGCTTTGAACAACCCAAAAAAAATTCTGCCCATGGTGTATAACCCCTTCATAAGTTCTTCTAAACACAACTATTATATCAATCTCTTTACCCGAAGGGCATACAAAACCATTCCATGTCATATCAGAACAAAGGCCTTTTTATGTAGACTCTTTCCCCCGCAGGTACTGAAGATCATCTGGAGTATTATGTTCATGAGTGTGGAGACATCTTAAACCATCAGCATGAAGCTACCGGCAGACTCAACCGACGCTAAACACATTATGGAGCATGTCTTTGCACAGGTGTCGGAATTCAAGAAACTCGACCAAGTAAGATCATGAACAGGGAAATTCCCTTTTTGATGAGTTATGGGATCATATTGTGTGAGAGCAGTATACCATGTTGGTAGTTTTCATTTAAAGATGACATGTTTCTTTCTTGAAATGTTCCTGAACTTTCACTCTGCACTTATTCTTATGCCTCCGCTACAAAGTAGCCGGAGGCAGTATGTTTTCTGGTTGTCCATACGTCCCGTTCTCGTGATCGCTTTATCTCAAGAACCAATTAATGGATTACCGCCAAACTTTGGTCATGTATGTATCTTGCAGAGCTAATGAAGTGGTTAGATTTTGGGGTCACGAGGTCAAAGGTCACAGGGCTTATTACGTATGTATAAATAGCTTGTGATTGCGTTATCTCAAGAACCGATTAATAGATTCCCGCCAAACTTGGGTTCATCTGTACTCACTTATCTTTTTGTTTCAATTTCAATTTCATTTTGTTCATGTTTCCAACAAAACATTACGAAGCAATTATAAGCATTTAAAACAAATGTAGAAATACATGTTGGAAACAGACAGGTCCACTAAAAAGCAATGCTTGTATATGTGTGAACACCTTATGATATACTAAATTGTAAAGTGCAGTATGCTCAAAGCACCCACGTTCACCACAGCATTTGGGAACAAGCTGTATGTTGCATGGAAATTGCAGCTTGTACCTACAGCTGATCTTCGTTATTTAATAGTATTTTTCACTGATAACATTCTTTATTACACTTCTGGGCTCCTATTCACTTTACTCTTCATGGTTTGTCTATTAGGAAAATAGTAAGATATTGAAATAAAGAGAGATGTAATATAATTTGTGTTCTCTTACTTTGTTCAGGCGACTGGAGTGCGTCCATACACAGGGAACGTTGGAGCAGATGATGTTGATGGTGTAGACATGGCTTACAGGGTAGTGGCTGATCATATTCGCACATTGACCATAGCTCTCTTGGACGGAAGCTGGCCAGATAATGTTGGAAGAGGGTGAGTCCTTTTGAATGGATTTTCTAGCCCTCATTTGATCTTATTACAGTCTAATGGTTGGCAATACCTTACATGCCATACATTAAAATTACCTAAAGTTTGGTTCTATTTAACAACACATGGGATACATTAATACATAAGATGGAATTTAAAAAACCTTTTTAACACACATATTTATGCCTTAATAATAATAATAATAAGAATAATATTTTGATGTCTCTGCTACAGCCTAGCCGGAGGCATTATGTTTTCTGGTTGTCCGTCTGTCCGTACGTCTGTTCTCGTGATCACGTTATCTCAAGAACCGATTGATGGATTACCGCCAAACTTGGGTCATGTATAATTCTTGCAGAGCTAATGACCAGATAAAATTTTAAGGTCACAAGGTAAAAGGTCACATGGCTTATTATGTATGCAAAAACAGCTTGGATCGCGTTATCTCAGAAACGATTAATGGATTAATGGATAATATTAATTGTTTAAAAAAAAAGAAGAACAGAAGAAAAGAACAAAGAAAGGATCAAATGATCATGAGTCGTAGCAGTTAATAGTCTATGAGCAAAGAATTAATTTGGGTATTGGATTCATGTCTGCAAAAGAGCATAGTGGACAGAGTGTTGGTCTTTGAAAGGATTAACCTTGGTTTAGTGCTTGTATAAGGTATTCTTTTTAATTACTCAGTCTCTCAGATAGGACTTAAAGCTGTTGATTCCTCAGAGCTTCAGAGAATAATAATATACATACTTGCAAGCTTGAATTATTAAGGCGTATACAGCTGAATTGGCAGTGACGTGAGGGCAATTGTTCTGATATGTTCATTTGATAGTTCTGTTGTGGGAAGAGCATTGTGTAGTAAAACTACCTTACTTCAAATAATAAATCTGCTTACCGTAATATTCCAAATTGTAGAAGAATCTGAGTACAAATCAAATTTTGATTTGTATGATGAAATTGCATTTACAGATGTTGCGTTTTTTTCCCCTTTCAATTTTTCAGAGCGTATCAAGCACTCAACTTCAAGCATGAAAATCTGTCGCTGATTCAACCCCGATTCGTGGCGCCCCTGCCTCCTCTTCAACCAGCGGTAAGTCTACATCACCACCATAATTTAAAACCAGTCATCATGTGGTTTTAGCTGATGATGAGAGTGACATGGTTTTAGGTGATGTTGATGGGGATGTGGTTTTAGCTGATGATGAGAGTGACATGGTTTTAGCTGATGATGATGGAGGTGTGGTTTAGCTGATGATGATGGAGGTGTGGTTTTAGCTGATGATGATGTGAAGGTGGTTTTAGCTGATGATGAGAGTGACATGGTTTTAGCTGATGATGAGAGTGACATGGTTTTAGGTGATGTGATGGGGATGTGGTTTTAGCTGATGATGATGGATGTGGTTTTAGCTGATGATGAGAGTGACATGGTTTTAGCTGATGATGAGAGTGACATGGTTTTAGGTGATGTTGATGGGATGTGGTTTTAGCTGATGATGATTGGATGTGGTTTTAGCTGATGATGAGAGTGACATGGTTTTAGGTGATTTGATGGGGAGTGGTTTTAGATGATGATGGTAGGTGGTTTAGCTGATGATGATGTGGATGGGGTTTTAGCTGATGATGAGAGTGACATGGTTTTAGGTGATTTTGATGGGGATGTGGTTTTATGATGATGGTAGGTGGTTCTAGCTGATGATGTGGATGTGGTTTTAGCTGATGATGAGAGTGACATGGTTTTAGGTGATTTTGATGGGGATGTGGTTTTAGATGATGATGGGAGGTGGTTCTAGCTGATGATGATGTGGATGGGGTTTTAGCTGATGATGAGCGTGACATGGTTTTAGCTGATGATGATGGGGATGTGGTTTTAGCTGATGATGATGGGATGTGGTTTTAGCTGATGATGAGAGCGAGGTGGTTTTAGCTGATGATGATGGGATGTGGTTTATTGATGTTGATGGGGATGTGGTTTTAGCAGATGATGATGGGAGGGGTTTTAGCTGATGATGATGTAGATGCGGTTTTAGCTGATGATGAGAGTGACGTGGTTTTAGCTGATGATGATGTCGATGTGGTTAAGTTGATGATGAGAGTGACATGGTTCTAGCTGATATTGATCGGGATGTGGTTTTAGCTGATGATGAGAGTTACATGTTTTTAGCTGATGATGTTGGGGATGTGGTTTTAGATTATGAAGGTGGTGATGTTTTTTTAATTGGTCCTACACGAAAAGGCAAAGGCCCGACATGTCAAAACTGCTGCTTTTGGGGGCTAATCACTACAGGAGGCTGCAACCCTTGCCCTCCTTTTAAATATAGCTTTTTCATCTTCAAAACAAAGTAGTACCCGGAAGAAAAATATCTGGTCCTTTGAAATGCTTACAGCTTTGAACAACCCAAAAAAAATTCTGCCCATGGTGTATAACCCTTCATAAGTTCTTCTAAACACAACTATTATATCAATCTCTTTACCCGAAGGGCATACAAAACCATTCCATGTCATATCAGAACAAAGGCCTTTTTATGTAGACTCTTTCCCCCGCAGGTACTGAAGATCATCTGGAGTATTATGTTCATGAGTGTGGAGACATCTTAAACCATCAGCATGAAGCTACCGGCAGACTCAACCGACGCTAAACACATTATGGAGCATGTCTTTGCACAGGTGTCGGAATTCAAGAAACTCGACCAAGTAAGATCATGAACAGGGAAATTCCCTTTTGATGAGTTATGGGATCATATTGTGTGAGAGCAGTATACCATGTTGGTAGTTTTCATTTAAAGATGACATGTTTCTTTCTTGAAATGTTCCTGAACTTTCACTCTGCACTTATTCTTATGCCTCCGCTACAAAGTAGCCGGAGGCAGTATGTTTTCTGGTTGTCCATACGTCCCGTTCTCGTGATCGCTTTATCTCAAGAACCAATTAATGGATTACCGCCAAACTTTGGTCATGTATGTATCTTGCAGAGCTAATGAAGTGGTTAGATTTTGGGGTCACGAGGTCAAAGGTCACAGGGCTTATTACGTATGTATAAATAGCTTGTGATTGCGTTATCTCAAGAACCGATTAATAGATTCCCGCCAAACTTGGGTTCATCTGTACTCACTTATCTTTTTGTTTCAATTTCAATTTCATTTGTTCATGTTTCCAACAAAACATTACGAAGCAATTATAAGCATTTAAAACAAATGTAGAAATACATGTTGGAAACAGACAGGTCCACTAAAAAGCAATGCTTGTATATGTGTGAACACCTAATGAGATACTAAAGTAAGTGCAGTATGCTCAAAGCACCCACGTTCACCACAGCATTTGGGAACAAGCTGTATGTTGCATGGAAATTGCAGCTTGTACCTACAGCTGATCTTCGTTATTTAATAGTATTTTTCACTGATAACATTCTTTATTACACTTCTGGGCTCCTATTCACTTTACTCTTCATGGTTTGTCTATTAGGAAAATAGTAAGATATTGAAATAAAGAGAGATGTAATATAATTTGTGTTCTCTTACTTTGTTCAGGCGACTGGAGTGCGTCCATACACAGGGAACGTTGGAGCAGATGATGTTGATGGTGTAGACATGGCTTACAGGGTAGTGGCTGATCATATTCGCACATTGACCATAGCTCTCTTGGACGGAAGCTGGCCAGATAATGTTGGAAGAGGGTGAGTCCTTTTGAATGGATTTTCTAGCCCTCATTTGATCTTATTACAGTCTAATGGTTGGCAATACCTTACATGCCATACATTAAAATTACCTAAAGTTTGGTTCTATTTAACAACACATGGGATACATAATAATACATAAGATGGAATTTAAAAAACCTTTTTAACACACATATTTATGCCTTAATAATAATAATAATAAGAATAATATTTTGATGTCTCTGCTACAGCCTAGCCGGAGGCATTATGTTTTCTGGTTGTCCGTCTGTCCGTACGTCTGTTCTCGTGATCACGTTATCTCAAGAACCGATTGATGGATTACCGCCAAACTTGGGTCATGTATAATTCTTGCAGAGCTAATGACCAGATAAAATTTTAAGGTCACAAGGTAAAAGGTCACATGGCTTATTATGTATGCAAAAACAGCTTGGATCGCGTTATCTCAGAAACGATTAATGGATTAATGGATAATATTAATTGTTTAAAAAAAAAGAAGAACAGAAGAAAAGAACAAAGAAAGGATCAAATGATCATGAGTCGTAGCAGTTAATAGTCTATGAGCAAAGAATTAATTTGGGTATTGGATTCATGTCTGCAAAAGAGCATAGTGGACAGAGTGTTGGTCTTTGAAAGGATTAACCTTGGTTTAGTGCTTGTATAAGGTATTCTTTTTAATTACTCAGTCTCTCAGATAGGACTTAAAGCTGTTGATTCCTCAGAGCTTCAGAGAATAATAATATACATACTTGCAAGCTTGAATTATTAAGGCGTATACAGCTGAATTGGCAGTGACGTGAGGGCAATTGTTCTGATATGTTCATTTGATAGTTCTGTTGTGGGAAGAGCATTGTGTAGTAAAACTACCTTACTTCAAATAATAAATCTGCTTACCGTAATATTCCAAATTGTAGAAGAATCTGAGTACAAATCAAATTTTGATTTGTATGATGAAATTGCATTTACAGATGTTGCGTTTTTTTCCCCTTTCAATTTTTCAGAGCGTATCAAGCACTCAACTTCAAGCATGAAAATCTGTCGCTGATTCAACCCCGATTCGTGGCGCCCCTGCCTCCTCTTCAACCAGCGGTAAGTCTACATCACCACCATAATTTAAACCAGTCATCATGTGGTTTTAGCTGATGATGAGAGTGACATGGTTTTAGGTGATGTTGATGGGGATGTGGTTTTAGCTGATGATGAGAGTGACATGGTTTTAGCTGATGATGATGGAGGTGTGGTTTTAGCTGATGATGATGGAGGTGTGGTTTTAGCTGATGATGATGTGAAGGTGGTTTTAGCTGATGATGAGAGTGACATGGTTTTAGCTGATGATGAGAGTGACATGGTTTTAGCTGATGATGATGGGGGTGTGGTTTTAGCTGATGATGATGTGAAGGTGGTTTTAGCTGATGATGAGAGTGACATGGTTTTAGCTGATGATGAGAGTGACATGGTTTTAGGTGATGTTGATGGGGATGTGGTTTTAGCTGATGATGATTGGATGTGGTTTTAGCTGATGATGAGAGTGACATGGTTTTAGGTGATGTTGATGGGGATGTGGTTTTAGCTGATGATGATTGGATGTGGTTTTAGCTGATGATGAGAGTGACATGGTTTTAGGTGATTTTGATGGGGATGTGGTTTTAGATGATGATGATGGGAGGTGGTTCTAGCTGATGATGATGTGGATGGGGTTTTAGCTGATGATGAGCGTGACATGGTTTTAGCTGATGATGATGGGGATGTGGTTTTAGCTGATGATGATGGGATGTGGTTTTAGCTGATGATGAGAGCGAGGTGGTTTTAGCTGATGATGATGGGATGTGGTTTTATCTGATGTTGATGGGGATGTGGTTTTAGCAGATGATGATGGGAGGGGGTTTTAGCTGATGATGATGTAGATGCGGTTTTAGCTGATGATGAGAGTGACGTGGTTTTAGCTGATGATGATGTCGATGTGGTTTAAGTTGATGATGAGAGTGACATGGTTCTAGCTGATATTGATCGGGATGTGGTTTTAGCTGATGATGAGAGTTACATGTTTTTAGCTGATGATGTTGGGGATGTGGTTTTAGATTATGAAGGTGGTGATGTTTTTTTAATTGGTCCTACACGAAAAGGCAAAGGCCCGACATGTCAAAACTGCTGCTTTTGGGGGCTAATCACTACAGGAGGCTGCAACCCTTGCCCTCCTTTTAAATATAGCTTTTTCATCTTCAAAACAAAGTAGTACCCGGAAGAAAAATATCTGGTCCTTTGAAATGCTTACAGCTTTGAACAACCCAAAAAAATTCTGCCCATGGTGTATAACCCCTTCATAAGTTCTTCTAAACACAACTATTATATCAATCTCTTTACCCGAAGGGCATACAAAACCATTCCATGTCATATCAGAACAAAGGCCTTTTTATGTAGACTCTTTCCCCCGCAGGTACTGAAGATCATCTGGAGTATTATGTTCATGAGTGTGGAGACATCTTAAACCATCAGCATGAAGCTACCGGCAGACTCAACCGACGCTAAACACATTATGGAGCATGTCTTTGCACAGGTGTCGGAATTCAAGAAACTCGACCAAGTAAGATCATGAACAGGGAAATTCCCTTTTTGATGAGTTATGGGATCATATTGTGTGAGAGCAGTATACCATGTTGGTAGTTTTCATTTAAAGATGACATGTTTCTTTCTTGAAATGTTCCTGAACTTTCACTCTGCACTTATTCTTATGCCTCCGCTACAAAGTAGCCGGAGGCAGTATGTTTTCTGGTTGTCCATACGTCCCGTTCTCGTGATCGCTTTATCTCAAGAACCAATTAATGGATTACCGCCAAACTTTGGTCATGTATGTATCTTGCAGAGCTAATGAAGTGGTTAGATTTTGGGGTCACGAGGTCAAAGGTCACAGGGCTTATTACGTATGTATAAATAGCTTGTGATTGCGTTATCTCAAGAACCGATTAATAGATTCCCGCCAAACTTGGGTTCATCTGTACTCACTTATCTTTTTGTTTCAATTTCAATTTCATTTTGTTCATGTTTCCAACAAAACATTACGAAGCAATTATAAGCATTTAAAACAAATGTAGAAATACATGTTGGAAACAGACAGGTCCACTAAAAAGCAATGCTTGTATATGTGTGAACACCTAATGAGATACTAAAGTGCAGTATGCTCAAAGCACCCACGTTCACCACAGCATTTGGGAACAAGCTGTATGTTGCATGGAAATTGCAGCTTGTACCTACAGCTGATCTTCGTTATTTAATAGTATTTTTCACTGATAACATTCTTTATTACACTTCTGGGCTCCTATTCACTTTACTCTTCATGGTTTGTCTATTAGGAAATAGTAAGATATTGAAATAAAGAGAGATGTAATATAATTTGTGTTCTCTTACTTTGTTCAGGCGACTGGAGTGCGTCCATACACAGGGAACGTTGGAGCAGATGATGTTGATGGTGTAGACATGGCTTACAGGGTAGTGGCTGATCATATTCGCACATTGACCATAGCTCTCTTGGACGGAAGCTGGCCAGATAATGTTGGAAGAGGGTGAGTCCTTTTGAATGGATTTTCTAGCCCTCATTTGATCTTATTACAGTCTAATGGTTGGCAATACCTTACATGCCATACATTAAAATTACCTAAAGTTTGGTTCTATTTAACAACACATGGGATACATAATAAATACATAGATGGAATTTAAAAAACCTTTTTAACACACATATTTATGCCTTAATAATAATAATAATAAGAATAATATTTTGATGTCTCTGCTACAGCCTAGCCGGAGGCATTATGTTTTCTGGTTGTCCGTCTGTCCGTACGTCTGTTCTCGTGATCACGTTATCTCAAGAACCGATTGATGGATTACCGCCAAACTTGGGTCATGTATAATTCTTGCAGAGCTAATGACCAGATAAAATTTTAAGGTCACAAGGTAAAAGGTCACATGGCTTATTATGTATGCAAAAACAGCTTGGATCGCGTTATCTCAGAAACGATTAATGGATTAATGGATAATATTAATTGTTTAAAAAAAAAGAAGAACAGAAGAAAAGAACAAAGAAAGGATCAAATGATCATGAGTCGTAGCAGTTAATAGTCTATGAGCAAAGAATTAATTTGGGTATTGGATTCATGTCTGCAAAAGAGCATAGTGGACAGAGTGTTGGTCTTTGAAAGGATTAACCTTGGTTTAGTGCTTGTATAAGGTATTCTTTTTAATTACTCAGTCTCTCAGATAGGACTTAAAGCTGTTGATTCCTCAGAGCTTCAGAGAATAATAATATACATACTTGCAAGCTTGAATTATTAAGGCGTATACAGCTGAATTGGCAGTGACGTGAGGGCAATTGTTCTGATATGTTCATTTGATAGTTCTGTTGTGGGAAGAGCATTGTGTAGTAAAACTACCTTACTTCAAATAATAAATCTGCTTACCGTAATATTCCAAATTGTAGAAGAATCTGAGTACAAATCAAATTTTGATTTGTATGATGAAATTGCATTTACAGATGTTGCGTTTTTTTCCCCTTTCAATTTTTCAGAGCGTATCAAGCACTCAACTTCAAGCATGAAAATCTGTCGCTGATTCAACCCCGATTCGTGGCGCCCCTGCCTCCTCTTCAACCAGCGGTAAGTCTACATCACCACCATAATTTAAAACCAGTCATCATGTGGTTTTAGCTGATGATGAGAGTGACATGGTTTTAGGTGATGTTGATGGGGATGTGGTTTTAGCTGATGATGAGAGTGACATGGTTTTAGCTGATGATGATGGAGGTGTGGTTTTAGCTGATGATGATGGAGGTGTGGTTTTAGCTGATGATGATGTGAAGGTGGTTTTAGCTGATGATGAGAGTGACATGGTTTTAGCTGATGATGAGAGTGACATGGTTTTAGCTGATGATGATGGGGGTGTGGTTTTAGCTGATGATGATGTGAATGTGGTTTTAGCTGATGATGAGAGTGACATGGTTTTAGCTGATGATGAGAGTGACATGGTTTTAGGTGATGTTGATGGGGATGTGGTTTTAGCTGATGATGATTGGATGTGGTTTTAGCTGATGATGAGAGTGACATGGTTTTAGGTGATTTTGATGGGATGTGGTTTTAGATGATGATGATGGGAGGTGGTTCTAGCTGATGATGATGTGGATGGGGTTTTAGCTGATGATGAGCGTGACATGGTTTTAGCTGATGATGATGGGGATGTGGTTTTAGCTGATGATGATGGGATGTGGTTTTAGCTGATGATGAGAGCGAGGTGGTTTTAGCTGATGATGATGGGATGTGGTTTTATCTGATGTTGATGGGGATGTGGTTTTAGCAGATGATGATGGGAGGGGGTTTTAGCTGATGATGATGTAGATGCGGTTTTAGCTGATGATGAGAGTGACGTGGTTTTAGCTGATGATGATGTCGATGTGGTTTAAGTTGATGATGAGAGTGACATGGTTCTAGCTGATATTGATCGGGATGTGGTTTTAGCTGATGATGAGAGTTACATGTTTTTAGCTGATGATGTTGGGGATGTGGTTTTAGATTATGAAGGTGGTGATGTTTTTTTAATTGGTCCTACACGAAAAGGCAAAGGCCCGACATGTCAAAACTGCTGCTTTTGGGGGCTAATCACTACAGGAGGCTGCAACCCTTGCCCTCCTTTTAAATATAGCTTTTTCATCTTCAAAACAAAGTAGTACCCGGAAGAAAAATATCTGGTCCTTTGAAATGCTTACAGCTTTGAACAACCCAAAAAAATTTCTGCCCATGGTGTATAACCCCTTCATAAGTTCTTCTAAACACAACTATTATATCAATCTCTTTACCCGAAGGGCATACAAAACCATTCCATGTCATATCAGAACAAAGGCCTTTTTATGTAGACTCTTTCCCCCGCAGGTACTGAAGATCATCTGGAGTATTATGTTCATGAGTGTGGAGACATCTTAAACCATCAGCATGAAGCTACCGGCAGACTCAACCGACGCTAAACACATTATGGAGCATGTCTTTGCACAGGTGTCGGAATTCAAGAAACTCGACCAAGTAAGATCATGAACAGGGAAATTCCCTTTTTGATGAGTTATGGGATCATATTGTGTGAGAGCAGTATACCATGTTGGTAGTTTTCATTTAAAGATGACATGTTTCTTTCTTGAAATGTTCCTGAACTTTCACTCTGCACTTATTCTTATGCCTCCGCTACAAAGTAGCCGGAGGCAGTATGTTTTCTGGTTGTCCATACGTCCCGTTCTCGTGATCGCTTTATCTCAAGAACCAATTAATGGATTACCGCCAAACTTTGGTCATGTATGTATCTTGCAGAGCTAATGAAGTGGTTAGATTTTGGGGTCACGAGGTCAAAGGTCACAGGGCTTATTACGTATGTATAAATAGCTTGTGATTGCGTTATCTCAAGAACCGATTAATAGATTCCCGCCAAACTTGGGTTCATCTGTACTCACTTATCTTTTTGTTTCAATTTCAATTTCATTTTGTTCATGTTTCCAACAAAACATTACGAAGCAATTATAAGCATTTAAAACAAATGTAGAAATACATGTTAGAAACAGACAGGTCCACTAAAAAGCAATGCTTGTATATGTGTGAACACCTTATGATATACTAAATTGTAAAGTGCAGTATGCTCAAAGCACCCACGTTCACCACAGCATTTGGGAACAAGCTGTATGTTGCATGGAATTGCAGCTTGTACCTACAGCTGATCTTCGTTATTTAATAGTATTTTTCACTGATAACATTCTTTATTACACTTCTGGGCTCCTATTCACTTTACTCTTCATGGTTTGTCTATTAGGAAAATAGTAAGATATTGAAATAAAGAGAGATGTAATATAATTTGTGTTCTCTTACTTTGTTCAGGCGACTGGAGTGCGTCCATACACAGGGAACGTTGGAGCAGATGATGTTGATGGTGTAGACATGGCTTCAGGGTTCGTTCGTTCGTGTTCCTTAGATCAAGATAGTAATTGTAAATTCCTTACTTAGAAGTAAATTAATTAATTAATTCTTCATCGCTCGATTGCTGCAATGCCGTTTCATTAACAGGGACAGGTCTTCATCTGTGCAAACCCGTTCCGCCGCACTGCAAGAGGTGGTCCATCGTCTGAGTCTCTCCGCAGTCGCAGAGAGTATCTCCTTCATGGGCATAGCCCCATCTTGCCATATTGACCTTACACCGTCCCATTCTCGTCCGCATTCGATTTAGGCTTGCCACTGCCGGCCACTTCATGTTAAGACCTTGATGAGTACGGGCTTGACTGATGGTGGATGATTCTGTTCAGGTGGTGGTACAGAATCGAGGAAGCTGTGTCGGGATATAGTCGTTTGTGGGTTTGTAATATCCGTGTACATGTGTCTGTCATCTGTCGCCTGCTTCATCCGTTCCTTTAGGCAGGTGTTAGTGCGCCTTTGGTTAGGAGATCCAATGCCAGCGAGGTGAATTCTCCTCACTTTTTGTTGGTTTCAGACTCCTGTTACTTTCGATATGTGTTATTGAGTGTGGTGTCAACTTCTTCACATGGGCTGATCTCTCCAAACTGGGCAAGCTATTCTGCGGATGACATGCATAAGCACAGCTGCACTTTGTACAGTTTTGGGGTCAGCGCCATAGTGTGAAGATACTAGCTTCCCGATGATGGCATTTCGAGATTCTACTTTGCCTATTGTCTTCTCGATATGTTTCTTGAAGGATAAGTGCGGTCAGTTTTACCCTAAATACACTGGATGCTCGCATGGTTAAGTTGCACAATTTGTCCACTTTGCTTCAGTTCTCTCTTGCCTCCTGTTCTTCAAGTGAAAACACACACCTGAGTCTTGGATGGGTTTGCCCGTAGGTAGTTTGCTCTGTAGTACCCGAAAGGCTTGCGAGCGCTGTGTTGAAGATGGAGTTCAACAGCTTCGAAGTACTATGCTGGGCTGTGATACGGGTATTGGCTGATCATATTCGCACATTGCCATAGCTCTCTTGACGGAAGCTGGCCAGATAATGTTTGAAGAGGGTGAGTCCTTTTGAATGGATTTTCTAGCCTCATTTGATCTTATTACAGTCTAATGGTTGGCAATACCTTACATGCCATACATTAAAATTACCTAAAGTTTGGTTCTATTTAACAACACATGGGATACATTATACATAAGATGGAATTTAAAAAACCTTTTTAACACACATATTTATGCCTTAATAATAATAATAATAAATAATATTTTGATGTCTCTGCTACAGCCTAGCCGGAGGCATTATGTTTCTGGTTGTCCGTCTGTCCGTACGTCTGTTCTCGTGATCACGTTATCTCAAGAACCGATTGATGGATTACCGCCAAACTTGGGTCATGTATAATTCTTGCAGAGCTAATGACCAGATAAAATTTTAAGGTCACAAGGTAAAAGGTCACATGGCTTATTATGTATGCAAAAACAGCTTGGATCGCGTTATCTCGAAACGATTAATGGATTAATGGATAATATTAATTGTTTAAAAAAAAGAAGAACAGAAGAAAAGAACAAAGAAAGGATCAAATGATCATGAGTCGTAGCAGTTAATAGTCTATGAGCAAAGAATTAATTTGGGTATTGGATTCATGTCTGCAAAAGAGCATAGTGGACAGAGTGTTGGTCTTTGAAAGGATTAACCTTGGTTTAGTGCTTGTATAAGGTATTCTTTTTAATTACTCAGTCTCTCAGATAGGACTTAAAGCTGTTGATTCCTCAGAGCTTCAGAGAATAATAATATACATACTTGCAAGCTTGAATTATTAAGGCGTATACAGCTGAATTGGCAGTGACGTGAGGGCAATTGTTCTGATATGTTCATTTGATAGTTCTGTTTGTGGGAAGAGCATTGTGTAGTAAAACTACCTTACTTCAAATAATAACTGCTTACCGTAATATTCCAAATTGTAGAAGAATCTGAGTACAAATCAAATTTTGATTTGTATGATGAAATTGCATTTACAGATGTTGCGTTTTTTTCCCCTTTCAATTTTTCAGAGCGTATCAAGCACTCAACTTCAAGCATGAAAATCTGTCGCTGATTCAACCCCGATTCGTGGCGCCCCTGCCTCCTCTTCAACCAGCGGTAAGTCTACATCACCACCATAATTTAAAACCAGTCATCATGTGGTTTTAGCTGATGATGAGAGTGACATGGTTTTAGGTGATGTTGATGGGGATGTGGTTTTAGCTGATGATGAGAGTGACATGGTTTTAGCTGATGATGATGGAGGTGTGGTTTTAGCTGATGATGATGGAGGTGTGGTTTTAGCTGATGATGATGTGAAGGTGGTTTTAGCTGATGATGAGAGTGACATGGTTTTAGCTGATGATGAGAGTGACATGGTTTTAGGTGATGTTGATGGGGGTGTGGTTTTAGCTGATGATGATTGGATGTGGTTTTAGCTGATGATGAGAGTGACATGGTTTTAGCTGATGATGAGAGTGACATGGTTTTAGGTGATGTTGATGGGGATGTGGTTTTAGCTGATGATGATTGGATGTGGTTTTAGCTGATGATGAGAGTGACATGGTTTTAGGTGATTTTGATGGGGATGTGGTTTTAGATGATGATGATGGGAGGTGGTTCTAGCTGATGATGATGTGGATGGGGTTTTAGCTGATGATGAGCGTGACATGGTTTTAGCTGATGATGATGGGGATGTGGTTTTAGCTGATGATGATGGGATGTGGTTTTAGCTGATGATGAGAGCGAGGTGGTTTTAGCTGATGATGATGGGATGTGGTTTTATCTGATGTTGATGGGGATGTGGTTTTAGCAGATGATGATGGGAGGGGGTTTTAGCTGATGATGATGTAGATGCGGTTTTAGCTGATGATGAGAGTGACGTGGTTTTAGCTGATGATGATGTCGATGTGGTTTAAGTTGATGATGAGAGTGACATGGTTCTAGCTGATATTGATCGGGATGTGGTTTTAGCTGATGATGAGAGTTACATGTTTTTAGCTGATGATGTTGGGGATGTGGTTTTAGATTATGAAGGTGTGATGTTTTTTTTATTGGTCCTACACGAAAAGGCAAAGGCCCGACATGTCAAAACTGCTGCTTTTGGGGGCTAATCACTACAGGAGGCTGCAACCCTTGCCCTCCTTTTAAATATAGCTTTTTCATCTTCAAAACAAAGTAGTACCCGGAAGAAAAATATCTGGTCCTTTGAAATGCTTACAGCTTTGAACAACCCAAAAAAATTCTGCCCATGGTGTATAACCCCTTCATAAGTTCTTCTAAACACAACTATTATATCAATCTCTTTACCCGAAGGGCATACAAAACCATTCCATGTCATATCAGAACAAAGGCCTTTTTATGTAGACTCTTTCCCCCGCAGGTACTGAAGATCATCTGGAGTATTATGTTCATGAGTGTGGAGACATCTTAAACCATCAGCATGAAGCTACCGGCAGACTCAACCGACGCTAAACACATTATGGAGCATGTCTTTGCACAGGTGTCGGAATTCAAGAAACTCGACCAAGTAAGATCATGAACAGGGAAATTCCCTTTTTGATGAGTTATGGGATCATATTGTGTGAGAGCAGTATACCATGTTGGTAGTTTTCATTTAAAGATGACATGTTTCTTTCTTGAAATGTTCCTGAACTTTCACTCTGCACTTATTCTTATGCCTCCGCTACAAAGTAGCCGGAGGCAGTATGTTTTCTGGTTGTCCATACGTCCGTTCTCGTGATCGCTTTATCTCAAGAACCAATTAATGGATTACCGCCAAACTTTGGTCATGTATGTATCTTGCAGAGCTAATGAAGTGGTTAGATTTTGGGGTCACGAGGTCAAAGGTCACAGGGCTTATTACGTATGTATAAATAGCTTGTGATTGCGTTATCTCAAGAACCGATTAATAGATTCCCGCCAAACTTGGGTTCATCTGTACTCACTTATCTTTTTGTTTCAATTTCAATTTCATTTTGTTCATGTTTCCAACAAAACATTACGAAGCAATTATAAGCATTTAAAACAAATGTAGAAATACATGTTAGAAACAGACAGGTCCACTAAAAAGCAATGCTTGTATATGTGTGAACACCTAATGATATACTAAATTGTAAAGTGCAGTATGCTCAAAGCACCCACGTTCACCACAGCATTTGGGAACAAGCTGTATGTTGCATGGAAATTGCAGCTTGTACCTACAGCTGATCTTCGTTATTTAATAGTATTTTTCACTGATAACATTCTTTATTACACTTCTGGGCTCCTATTCACTTTACTCTTCATGGTTTGTCTATTAGGAAAATAGTAAGATATTGAAATAAAGAGAGATGTAATATAATTTGTGTTCTCTTACTTTGTTCAGGCGACTGGAGTGCGTCCATACACAGGGAACGTTGGAGCAGATGATGTTGATGGTGTAGACATGGCTTACAGGGTAGTGGCTGATCATATTCGCACATTGACCATAGCTCTCTTGGACGGAAGCTGGCCAGATAATGTTGGAAGAGGGTGAGTCCTTTTGAATGGATTTTCTAGCCCTCATTTGATCTTATTACAGTCTAATGGTTGGCAATACCTTACATGCCATACATTAAAATTACCTAAAGTTTGGTTCTATTTAACAACACATGGGATACATTATACATAAGATGGAATTTAAAAAACCTTTTTAACACACATATTTATGCCTTAATAATAATAATAATAAGAATAATATTTTGATGTCTCTGCTACAGCCTAGCCGGAGGCATTATGTTTTCTGGTTGTCCGTCTGTCCGTACGTCTGTTCTCGTGATCACGTTATCTCAAGAACCGATTGATGGATTACCGCCAAACTTGGGTCATGTATAATTCTTGCAGAGCTAATGACCAGATAAAATTTTAAGGTCACAAGGTAAAAGGTCACATGGCTTATTATGTATGCAAAAACAGCTTGGATCGCGTTATCTCAGAAACGATTAATGGATTAATGGATAATATTAATTGTTTAAAAAAAAGAAGAACAGAAGAAAAGAACAAAGAAAGGATCAAATGATCATGAGTCGTAGCAGTTATAGTCTATGAGCAAAGAATTAATTTGGGTATTGGATTCATGTCTGCAAAAGAGCATAGTGGACAGAGTGTTGGTCTTTGAAAGGATTAACCTTGGTTTAGTGCTTGTATAAGGTATTCTTTTTAATTACTCAGTCTCTCAGATAGGACTTAAAGCTGTTGATTCCTCAGAGCTTCAGAGAATAATAATATACATACTTGCAAGCTTGAATTATTAAGGCGTATACAGCTGAATTGGCAGTGACGTGAGGGCAATTGTTCTGATATGTTCATTTGATAGTTCTGTTGTGGGAAGAGCATTGTGTAGTAAAACTACCTTACTTCAAATAATAAATCTGCTTACCGTAATATTCCAAATTGTAGAAGAATCTGAGTACAAATCAAATTTTGATTTGTATGATGAAATTGCATTTACAGATGTTGCGTTTTTTTCCCCTTTCATTTTTCAGAGCGTATCAAGCACTCAACTTCAAGCATGAAAATCTGTCGCTGATTCAACCCCGATTCGTGGCGCCCCTGCCTCCTCTTCAACCAGCGGTAAGTCTACATCACCACCATAATTTAAAACCAGTCATCATGTGGTTTTAGCTGATGATGAGAGTGACATGGTTTTAGGTGATGTTGATGGGATGTGGTTTTAGCTGATGATGAGAGTGACATGGTTTTAGCTGATGATGATGGAGGTGTGGTTTTAGCTGATGATGATGGAGGTGTGGTTTTAGCTGATGATGATGTGAAGGTGGTTTTAGCTGATGATGAGAGTGACATGGTTTTAGCTGATGATGAGAGTGACATGGTTTTAGTGATGTTGATGGGATGTGGTTTTTAGCTGATGATGATTGGATGTGGTTTTTAGCTGATGATGAGAGTGACATGGTTTTAGCTGATGATGAGAGTGACATGGTTTTAGGTGATGTTGATGGGGATGTGGTTTTAGCTGATGATGATTGGATGTGGTTTTAGCTGATGATGAGTGACATGGTTTTAGGTGATTTTGATGGGGATGTGGTTTTAGATGATGATGATGGGAGGTGGTTCTAGCTGATGATGATGTGGATGGGGTTTTAGCTGATGATGAGCGTGACATGGTTTTAGCTGATGATGATGGGGATGTGGTTTTAGCTGATGATGATGGGATGTGGTTTTAGCTGATGATGAGAGCGAGGTGGTTTTAGCTGATGATGATGGGATGTGGTTTTATCTGATGTTGATGGGGATGTGGTTTTAGCAGATGATGATGGGAGGGGGTTTTAGCTGATGATGATGTAGATGCGGTTTTAGCTGATGATGAGAGTGACGTGGTTTTAGCTGATGATGATGTCGATGTGGTTTAAGTTGATGATGAGAGTGACATGGTTCTAGCTGATATTGATCGGGATGTGGTTTTAGCTGATGATGAGAGTTACATGTTTTTAGCTGATGATGTTGGGGATGTGGTTTTAGATTATGAAGGTGGTGATGTTTTTTTAATTGGTCCTACACGAAAAGGCAAAGGCCCGACATGTCAAAACTGCTGCTTTTGGGGGCTAATCACTACAGGAGGCTGCAACCCTTGCCCTCCTTTTAAATATAGCTTTTTCATCTTCAAAACAAAGTAGTACCCGGAAGAAAAATATCTGGTCCTTTGAAATGCTTACAGCTTTGAACAACCCAAAAAAAATTCTGCCCATGGTGTATAACCCCTTCATAAGTTCTTCTAAACACAACTATTATATCAATCTCTTTTACCCGAAGGGCATACAAACCATTCCATGTCATATCAGAACAAAGGCCTTTTTATGTAGACTCTTTCCCCCGCAGGTACTGAAGATCATCTGGAGTATTATGTTCATGAGTGTGGAGACATCTTAAACCATCAGCATGAAGCTACCGGCAGACTCAACCGACGCTAAACACATTATGGAGCATGTCTTTGCACAGGTGTCGGAATTCAAGAAACTCGACCAAGTAAGATCATGAACAGGGAAATCCCTTTTTGATGAGTTATGGGATCATATTGTGTGAGAGCAGTATACCATGTTGGTAGTTTTCATTTAAAGATGACATGTTTCTTTCTTGAAATGTTCCTGAACTTTCACTCTGCACTTATTCTTATGCCTCCGCTACAAAGTAGCCGGAGGCAGTATGTTTTCTGGTTGTCCATACGTCCCGTTCTCGTGATCGCTTTATCTCAAGAACCAATTAATGGATTACCGCCAAACTTTGGTCATGTATGTATCTTGCAGAGCTAATGAAGTGGTTAGATTTTGGGGTCACGAGGTCAAAGGTCACAGGGCTTATTACGTATGTATAAATAGCTTGTGATTGCGTTATCTCAAGAACCGATTAATAGATTCCCGCCAAACTTGGGTTCATCTGTACTCACTTATCTTTTTGTTTCAATTTCAATTTCATTTTGTTCATGTTTCCAACAAAACATTACGAAGCAATTATAAGCATTTAAAACAAATGTAGAAATACATGTTGGAAACAGACAGGTCCACTAAAAAGCAATGCTTGTATATGTGTGAACACCTAATGAGATACTAAAGTGCAGTATGCTCAAAGCACCCACGTTCACCACAGCATTTGGGAACAAGCTGTATGTTGCATGGAAATTGCAGCTTGTACCTACAGCTGATCTTCGTTATTTAATAGTATTTTTCACTGATAACATTCTTTATTACACTTCTGGGCTCCTATTCACTTTACTCTTCATGGTTTGTCTATTAGGAAAATAGTAAGATATTGAAATGAAGAGAGATGTAATATAATTTGTGTTTCTCTTACTTTGTTCAGGCGACTGGAGTGCGTCCATACACAGGGAACGTTGGCAGATGATGTTGATGGTGTAGACATGGCTTACAGGGTAGTGGCTGATCATATTCGCACATTGACCATAGCTCTCTTGGACGGAAGCTGGCCAGATAATGTTGGAAGAGGGTGAGTCCTTTTGAATGGATTTTCTAGCCCTCATTTGATCTTATTACAGTCTAATGGTTGGCAATACCTTACATGCCATACATTAAAATTACCTAAAGTTTGGTTCTATTTAACACACATGGGATACATAATAAATACATAAGATGGAATTTAAAAAACCTTTTTAACACACATATTTATGCCTTAATAATAATAATAATAAGAATAATATTTTGATGTCTCTGCTACAGCCTAGCCGGAGGCATTATGTTTTCTGGTTGTCCGTCTGTCCGTACGTCTGTTCTCGTGATCACGTTATCTCAAGAACCGATTGATGGATTACCGCCAAACTTGGGTCATGTATAATTCTTGCAGAGCTAATGACCAGATAAAATTTTAAGGTCACAAGGTAAAAGGTCACATGGCTTATTATGTATGCAAAAACAGCTTGGATCGCGTTATCTCAGAAACGATTAATGGATTAATGGATAATATTAATTGTTTAAAAAAAAGAAGAACAGAAGAAAAAGAACAAAGAAAGGATCAAATGATCATGAGTCGTAGCAGTTAATAGTCTATGAGCAAAGAATTAATTTGGGTATTGGATTCATGTCTGCAAAAGAGCATAGTGGACAGAGTGTTGGTCTTTGAAAGGATTAACCTTGGTTTAGTGCTTGTATAAGGTATTCTTTTTAATTACTCAGTCTCTCAGATAGGACTTAAAGCTGTTGATTCCTCAGAGCTTCAGAGAATAATAATATACATACTTGCAAGCTTGAATTATTAAGGCGTATACAGCTGAATTGGCAGTGACGTGAGGGCAATTGTTCTGATATGTTCATTTGATAGTTCTGTTGTGGAAGAGCATTGTGTAGTAAAACTACCTTACTTCAAAAATAAATCTGCTTACCGTAATATTCCAAATTGTAGAAGAATCTGAGTACAAATCAAATTTTGATTTGTATGATGAAATTGCATTTACAGATGTTGCGTTTTTTTCCCCTTTCAATTTTTCAGAGCGTATCAAGCACTCAACTTCAAGCATGAAAATCTGTCGCTGATTCAACCCCGATTCGTGGCGCCCCTGCCTCCTCTTCAACCAGCGGTAAGTCTACATCACCACCATAATTTAAAACCAGTCATCATGTGGTTTTAGCTGATGATGAGAGTGACATGGTTTTAGGTGATGTTGATGGGGATGTGGTTTTAGCTGATGATGAGAGTGACATGGTTTTAGCTGATGATGATGGAGGTGTGGTTTTAGCTGATGATGATGGAGGTGTGGTTTTAGCTGATGATGATGTGAAGGTGGTTTTAGCTGATGATGAGAGTGACATGGTTTTAGCTGAGGATGAGAGTGACATGGTTTTAGCTGATGATGAT